TGAGCTATTGCACTTTGCACCAACAGATAATGAAACTGTCCAAGATGTTGTCTCTAGCCTTAGTTCCTCCACATGTAGCCTGGATGTACTACCCACTAAATTTTTTAAGTCTGTTTTGAGCAGTCTTTTACCTTTGCTCACACAAATAGTGAACATGTCTTTCTCATCTGGAACATTTCCAATGGCCCTGAAAACGGCAGTCATCAGACCCCTCCTAAAAAAGAGGAGTCTAGATGCCACAGTTCTTAAGAATTATCGCCCCATTTCAAATCTGCCGTTTATGGGAAAAATTCTGGAAAAAGTTGCTTACCAACAACTTACAGAATTCTTAGTAACTAATAGTTCGTTTGATGCGCTCCAGTCCGGCTTTAGAGCCAATCACAGCACTGAGACTGCACTAGTGAAGGTTACAAATGACATCCGACTTAACACCGACACAGGAAAAGTCACAGTTTTAGTAATGTTGGATCTGAGTGCTGCGTTCGACACAGTCGACCACGAGATCCTCCTGCAGAGACTAGAGCACTGGGTGGGTGTCACTGGGACTGCCCTAAGTTGGTTTAGGTCTTACCTAGAAGACAGGAAATACTTGGTTCAGATAGGAAACTGTGTCTCAGATCATATGGCTCTGACCTGCGGAGTGCCACAGGGATCAATTCTGGGGCCTCTTCTGTTCAATATTTACATGCTGCCGTTAGGTCAGTTAATACGCTCCAACAATGTATCCTACCACAATTACGCTGATGACACTCAAATTTATGTCTCACTTACTGCAGGAGAACATGGACCAGTGGAATCACTCCTTCACTGTACTCAACAGATTAGTGATTGGATGCAAAATAACTTCCTTCAGCTAAACGCAGACAAAACAGAATTGATTGTCTTTGGTCCTCAGAAACAAAGAGAGAGCGTTATTCGTCACCTCCAGTCTCTCTCCCTGGAACCTGTAGGCAAGGTCAGAAACCTAGGAGTTATAATGGACTCAGACTTAAATTTTAACAGTCATATCAAATCAGTAACATCAGCAGCATTTTACCATCTGAAAAACATTGCCAAAATTAGAAACATAGTGTCTAAATCAGATCTGGAGATTCTCATCCATGCATTTGTCTCCAGTAGGTTAGACTACTGCAATGGCCTGCTCACAGGTCTCTCCAAACAGGCTGTAAAACAACTGCAGTATGTCCAAAATGCTGCAGCTCGAGTCCTGACCAGGACCAGGAAATATGACCACATTAGTCCAGTTCTCAGGTCTCTGCACTGGCTTCCTGTGGCTCAGAGAATAGACTTCAAAGCAGCACTGCTTGTGTACAAGTCTCTCCATGGCCTCGCACCAGGGTACTTAAGCGACTTGTTAGTCCCATATGAACCGACCCGGAGCACAGGAGGTAGCCTCTTACTGGTTCCAAGAGTCAGAACTAAACATGGGGAGGCAGCGTTTGAGATTTATGGAGCTAAAATCTGGAACAATCTTCCTGAAGATGTGAGGCTAGCATCTACTCTGGCAATTTTTAAATCGGGGCTAAAAACTGTTCTTTTTAGCTGTGCATACGGCTGAAGGATTCTATTGATACATACTCTTTTTTTTTAATGCATTGTGGTTATTTATTATTTTAATCCCGTGTGTGCTTTTAATATTTTAAGTTTTTTTTTTTTTTTTTTTTTTTTCATTATTTGTGATTTTATTCTGTTTTTAATGTATTTATTGATGTCTCTGATTTGTGTGATACTATGTGGGTTGTGAGGCGCTTTGAGTGGCCTTGTGTTGGAAAGGCGCCATACAAATAAAGTTGATTGATTGATTGATAACTACAGTCTGAGTCCTGGATCTACAGTCTGAGTCCTGGATCTACAGTCTGAGTCCTGGATCTACAGCCTGAGTCCTTGATCTACAGTCTGAGTCCTTGATCTACAGTCTGAGTCCTTGATCTACAGTCTGAGTCCTGGATCTAAAGTCTGAGTCCTGGATCTACAGCTTAAGTCCTGTATCTGGATCTACAGTCCATGTCTTGGATCTACAGCCTGAGTCCTTGATCTGCAGTTTGGGTCCTTGATCTACAGCTTCTACATCCATTGGAGCAGAACCTTGTTTTTTTTTGTTCTTTTGGGTTGTTCCTTGCCGTTGCAGAAGGATCTAAAGACAGTGATGATCCTGGACATTTATAGATATAACATTTACGGACATTGGTCATCCCGCTCAGTATGGACCATTTGCTTCTATTGTAAATAACTTACACTTAATAGCGTCTGTGTTCGAATGGTTTGATTCTCTGATGTTGTTGCTTTCCAAAGAAATATATTGAATTATATTGTCGTACATAATATTTGTTTTTATGATTGCACAAATAGACAAACAGGCAATTATCAAAGAATCAAAAAGTGACATTTGTGAAATTTCTTTGCTGATTCATTAAGATTGCTTTCATCTTTACACATTTCAAGGCACCTTTACAATGACTTAGTGACAAGCGAGGCAGCCAGTCCTCGCCACGGGCCCCTCAGACCACCACCATCATTCACTGGCTCCAGGCTCACGTAAATGTTCCAGCTGGGATTTGCCATAAAAGTTTGACAGGAGGTGGATAGTGTCCTGAAACGCTGATGCAGCAAAAGCGTATGATTAGTGCACTGCGGAGAAGACACGACTAATGGCCTATCAACGCTCGAGTGGCGCCTTCTCACGCTGTCGCTTGCTACGCACTGTCACTTTAATTCAGACTTCATTTTTTCAGTGGCTTAAGAGAGTCAGGAGTTTTACACAAGCTCCAGGTAAGTACTTTAAAAATAGGATGTGATGAGAGGGACTCTATAGGGATGTGCTTGAGCAACTTTTAATCACTAAAACAAAAAGTCAACATAAAATACCTTCTCTTTAATGTTGGCCTACTCCCTGAGGTGAATCATTTGAAGATAGATGCAGAAATAATAAAAATTTAACGTAAAAAGTCAAAGCAGAAATTCTGAAAAAATGCTTTCACGAACTTTGTCAAAGTCACATGAACTCTTATCATAAATTAGATGCTTTGTCTAGACCATAGAGTTAATAATTCATGCATTCTGACATTGCTAATGAGTACATTAGCACAATTACAAAAAAATAAATCATATTTGAAGGTCAGAAAAATTCTCAATTATCAAGGAGTGAACACTTTTCCCGCTTTCTGTTTTTTTATTTTGTTTAAGTCATACCTCAGAAGAATATTAATTAAGTCAACCAAGTGGAATAAGTCTGTAAGTTATTGACAATTTTCTCATGCTGAGTTTTTTTTTAATACATCAAAACACCTGTTATAAATATAGATGTCAAAAATCCTGCTCAGGGCAAATCTGCGTTCCCTTTTTACCTGACGTTCCCATGCCTCTGCCCCCCGCTGATGTGCTGCGGGTATTGAGGATGAATAACCTCAAAGTTACAAATCATTTCTCTCTTAACTGAAATAGCTGTTGGATGCCGTTCATATTGTTTTAGCAGAGAATTGAACGGGCTGAATTATGCATGTGACTGATAAGAGCTTCACTCAGGGATTTACAGCAAATTGTAGCAGCGCCCCAGGCAAAAAAGCAACAAGATCATTTTGCTAAATGAAATAGAATGAATGTGCACATGGATTATACACATTTTAAAGACTGGGCTACAGGAACATGAGGTGACACAGAGATGGGGCTTATAGTTCATTCATGTACTGTTTTTAAGGCGTACAACAGATGTCTCTACCTTTTACCCCGGAGGGAAATTTTCCCAAGATAAAAAACACTGAGAGCTACTCCTTTAAGCGATCCTGGTATAATAAAGGTGGTATGTTGGTGAGAGCACGCTTGATATCAGAAACTTGTTATATCAACAGTCATTATTTATCATCACATGTTCATTACTAAAAGTATACTTTTATAATAAATAATAATAATGATTAATACATGTTTTTTCATTTCTAAATCCTTTGTCGAGCTACCTGGAAGGAGGTGCCGAGCTACTGGTGGCACCCAAGCCCCGGCGATCCAAGATGGCGCCCTATTCAAATGAATAGTTGTGCTCAGTGGCGCTTTGTGACGGCATGGGGGCTGAAAGATTAGCGGAAGTCGCCTGGAACTCACAAAGATCTATGGGAAACTCGCCTGTATTTGGGCATCGTCTGGTCCTCCCGGTTCTGTGCAGTGGATGATCTCCCATAATGCGTTGCGCCAAACACGCGTGTGTGGGTCTCACACCGGGTCTCACGCACGTGCACAGAGGGGCTCGGCCGTGCTCTGACCAATCAGAGCGGGAGTTAGAGCGAGAGCTAGACGAGCAGAGTTTGTGGCACTAAAGTGTGGATTTAAACAAAACCGAAGGATTTAAGAAGAAAAAAAGTTCAGGATGACAAGGGACACTAAAATCCCCACAAAATCTGACCTTGAAATGAAAGCTGTAGGTTCTCTGTCAACTGAGGTTGAGCTGTTTTAATATGCATTGAGTCCTATGGGGAAAATGTCTGGGTAGCCCACGTGAATTTAGTCTGGTTCAGTCTGCAGTACCGTGAGAATCCCCCGAGCACATGAGTTATTCAGCTACAAGCTAGCAATACCCTATCCAGTTAATATAATACATCCATGGTGGCACCTGAGCTACAGGTTTGAGACCCCTGGCGTACAATATTGAACCATTCACTTGCATGTCCTGGGTACAGTTCACAGTATTCTCTGTAATACTGGGGTCCCTCGCAATAACGCGGTTCACCTTTTGTGGCCTTGCTGTTTGCAGATTTGCATGCAATTTAGCTTGATTACAACACAATTTAAACGCTAGTATAACATGACTGTTACCTTTATTTAAAGTAAAAAAAAAACTTTTGTGGCCAATAGTTCAGAGGTCTTCCCACACACCTCAGTCTGGTTATCTTTAGAACGTAACCTCAGCGATAAAGGAGGGACCACTGTATTCACAATTCCAAGCAGACATGGTAAAGTTCTGGGTCGATTTGCTCTGGACCATTCACATAAATAAATCCAGTAACAAGCCGTTCTCAACAGATGATCAACAGCTGTACGAGCAAAATGACATGAGGTGTGTACAGTTTACTGCAAACAGAGAGGTCTGTAACTGGACACAGCATGATAAAACTAGACAGAAGAGCTGGCTATTTTCCTGGTAGGGACCCAGGAGTTTTCCGCAGAAATCATAAATTCTCAAAAATAACCATTGAATTAACCATTTTAAAATGTTTTTTTTTTAATGTACAATTTAAAAGTTATTCACTGAAAAATTCAATTCAAATTTATATACAGCAGGTGAACCTAAAATTGATTCATACTATTTACAGTTGCTACATGTATCTACTGTTGATCACACATGAACATAATTAGAAACCTCCTATGACACCACCAGTATCCTAATGGATCTACATATTTATGGTGGATCAGCTCTAAAATAAAGATGAAAGTCCTACCGGCTGTGCCCCTCCTGTTGGAGGAGCTGCACTCTGATGCGTTGTGATGGCTGATGTTTAATGTATAGCGTGCATGTGTTGCGTCAGCGTGGCACTCACAGGCCGCAGTGATGACGAGGAGAACAGTCCCCAGCAGCGCCAGGCTCCACTGCTGCGACTGCGCCGAGCTGCACAACATCTTGTTCTTCTTACACTCGCACACCTGCACTTTCACCTCTGTGATGTTGGACATGGAGGGCACTCCCGAGTCCGTGATGAGCAGAGGCAGCAGGTAGTTGGCCTTCTTCAGACTGTGCAAAAGCATGATCTGGGAATGTGTGGCTGTGGGCGCAAAAAGACGTGCAGTGAGTTTCATGTGATTTTTAAATTGGAGTATTATGTCCACAATGCAAATATACTGAGCATAACAAGGACACATGCTAATTGAAATAATTGGTGGGTAAATAGTGAGTTCAGATCTCTGTGAAATGAACCTGCAGCAAATGCCATCGGCCTCATTGTATAAGGCGTTACATTGTGTTGCATCAGTCTTTTAAGTTCCTTAGAAGGCACAAGATCTAACTCTGGCACCGCTTCATGTCAGCCTGAAGTGTGTCACCCTTTTTCACTTGTCTGACACCGTTGTAAACAATACAACATACAATAATCTAAAGTAAAAACAAAAGTTCTTTACCATCTATAAGTTGGACTGAAAAATACACATTTAAAAGGCTATAGACGAAATATGACATAAGCACAAATTATGTTTCAAGCACAAAAGACATTTTTAACCTTTTGATTGTTGGACAGAGGGGTCAACCCTGCTGATTTGTCATAAATGGGTGATTGGACTTGATTGTGGAATAGTTCAGTGCATGAGAGGGGAGAGCACATTATTATTACCATGCTCTGCTATTAAAGCTCTCTAAAGATCGCTTTTTGTGGCTTTAATGTATCCAGAATTATTGAGAGAGGACAGCAGTTGGAATAAAAACTGCTGGGTGCTGGGATACCTGTGGAGGCATTGGGGCATATAAAGAATGGAAACGCCATAAAACAATCTATTAAGACAGCACATTTTTGCCTGACGATCGATTTAATTCCATAGAAGAGCAAGAGGTGGTGTGTTGAAGTACTGGGTCTTTTTGTACTGTTCCATGGTAGAAGACAATGCTGCTGAGTTCCCCATGTCGTTCCTCCCTGCTGCGGTCAGAATGTACAATGAACAAAGAAGACTGATGAAGATGGTTGACCTCACATGTCATTCATCTGTAGCAATGACGTGCAAAAATGTCAGAATGTGCAATATGGGACCACTGTCACTTTCGTCACTTTTAGCCCAGAGCCTCCTGCTGCTAACATTACAGCAGTGTCATACAGCAGTAATCCTCAAAGCTAACCACTTATCACTTCATCGATCTTGCACTAGATTGTCTTACAGATGTATCTATAGAGTTAAGCATATTACTTAAACATATACGTCTATATGTCTTTGCACTAGAGCAGAGCTTATACTGTATGTTTGTACTGTTTGTGTTTATACTTTTTTATACTTTTAGGTCTATTTATTAAGCTAAAGATTTTAGAAAGTAGAGTAAAGTTGTGCTACACTTATTTTGTGTGGTTGTGTTCCTCATTCTTACTGCTCTGTAAATCTGTGATACAACACTGACATTTTCCCCACTGTGGGAGGAATAAAGAACCTCTTCATATTCTATGAATGTGTCTCCATTTACAGCTGACATTGTTATTCATCTAAAATGTTCATAACAATGTCAATGTCTAAACTGCTACTATTATTTTCAACTATACAAGGATGACCACAAACAAAATCACACTAATAATAAAGACTTAAATATGTACAGTTATGCTTATACATTTACAGTATGGCATTAATAACTACTTGAGATGCTATGTATTTAAACAGCTTTTTTATGAGTTCAGTTTCAATTGAGTATTTAAAAGCAAATGCTCCTGTGATCTTCAGAGGTCCAGTCCAACAAACATGTTTAATAATCAAGTCCTTTCATATGCACTGAATTTTTATATCTTGTATATTATATTTATAGCTCCTGAGCAATAGATGCAACTGTGCACTTCAATGTTATTAATTTATTTCTGTATGTCTGCTAACTTATTCTGTGTATACATTTCTGCACTGGTGGAGTTGCTTTTTATTTAATTATGCATGTGTATGGTGACAAATAAAGTATAATCTAATCTAATCTAATCTTTATGAATAAATATCGTCGGATTGTGGCTAAAATAGACACAAAAATAGTGCTGTCAAAGCATAACTGTAGCTGTAACACAAACACCCACACAGAGAGCATGGTGGGGGTCTGTAAGCTGTGGTGATTGAGGTGGGCCTCTCTCTTCCCTCTGTCAGTCACTCGAGCTCCGCTGAGCAGCTCCTGGCGCTGCTCTGTCACTCAAACGCACACAGACAGCAGTGGCGCTCTGGCAACTACAAATCAATGTCTCGCTTGTCCGTTGTTTGCTGCTATTTTACAGTTGTTCACGTGATCGGCACAGACTCCGGTTTGCTCAACGTCACTGTTAAATGATTGGAACGTTCTGTGACAATAGCATGAAACACTACACGCCAGAGAAAGTAGACGCTGTCAAGTCTCATATCAGTTCTGTCTCTTGTTGTTCATTTCAGAAGGGAAATGAGCAACGCGCACATTTATGCTCGTCTATTAATGGTCAAAATATGACCACGTATGATCATTTACAATACAATGTATTATACACTATACATTATACACACTACTCTAGCATTCACATTGACTAGACTAAATCATAGGAGGCAGAAAACACCACTTAGAAGATCCTTGGTTGATTCAGCCTCCAGCCCTGTGTGGAGTTTGCATGTTCTACCCATGTCTGTGTAGGTTTCCTCCAGGTGCTCCGGTTTCTCCTACCACTAAAAACGTGTACATGAGGTCTGAATGTAATGAAAGATTAAATGGATGGGACTGGTTAGAATCTTTGCTGGGCCAGTGTGTTCGACGTCTAGCTTCTGTCATCACTGTGTGTGGAGAGAATGGAAATTACTGGTACAAGAATTGGAAAGTGCTTTTAGAGCTCTTGGTATGTGCTCTATAAGATGAAGATGACTTACTTACTTAGCTGGTATTTGAAAAAACGACTTGACCTTTTTTAAGCTGCAGACAGTGGACGTGCATAGTCTCACTTTCATTAAAGGGGCTTTCAGTATTCTGATGAAACATATGGTTCATATGACACATAATAATGACATGATAATCAGGAAAAACAACCACATTTAGACCCAATATACAAACCCAAGCAAAAAGCCGGACCACCGTAAGCACAATTGAGCAATACACCTTTTACAGACATAGATATTTAATGTATCCGTCCTTTTATGGACATTTATCAACATTTATGGACATTTGTCATCTGCCCTTTATGGACCAAGTGTTTTCTCATTTCACGGTTGTGTAAAGTCCTCCGAGATAACCTTTGTTGTGATTTGGAGCTATACAAGAATCAAAACTGAATTGAATTGAGTGCAATACCCCAAAAAAACTAACAAAGATGACTCACAATTAACTCTTGTGACTCTCCATGTGTTGTCGAGCTCCAGCTGTTTCCCCAGTTCTATCTTGAAGGGGGCGCCGTTGGGTGGTAGATCCTTGTCTCTGCCTCCCACGATGGCCACGTTTATGTCATGGGCATCTTCACAAACCCGCGCCACCGACGGCACTACATAGGGGGCGTTGTCGTTGTAGTCCTCAAGGTAGATTATCAATGTTCCCGTGCCCGTTGCTGGAGGATTACCTGGAACAAAAAAAAAAATATATCATGCACTTAATTTATTAAACTGTCCTCTGAACAATTCATAAATAGAATGTCAAAACACAAGCACAAACACTCCAAAAGCCAATCTACTTCAAAAGCTGCACTCCAATTCGTCTTTGCTCATCTCACCTAATTTAACTCGAACAAATGGAAAGCGTGCGTCGTTTCAATGCCAGAAGAATATGACTCATAGACTGGTTTGCGAAACAGCATTTGAAGCTGGCACATGGCCCTCTTGTGTGTTTGTATGAGATTAAGCCGTATGAAGGATGCTCTTGTTCTGTGCCACTCTCTAATACTTTTCTGCTTTACTGTGATTACAGGTTAGACGGGGGGAGAGCATGCAACGTCCTCCATGCCTCCGGGGGTCAGTTGACAATTAACTTCTTAAGACAAGATCTGTAATTGGAAATTGAGTCTCATCCACCTTGTGAGGATGAAAAAGCAGTACAATTTAGAGCAGGATATAATAAAACAAGTCAAGATATACAGTATGAGCAATAAATGTCAAGTGATTCCTGAATTAAAGCTGGGATACAGTACATGGAGAATTCACAGGCTGTAGTTGTGTTTCCAACGGAGAATGCTAATGCTGGGATCAAAGTTTACACACCCTGGGATATAGTGGGCTAAACCATCCAACCAATAGCTGTGTTTTTTTCTGATTGACGCACCCCTATGTTGTTTTTTCTGTCAATCACGTTAATTAGCCGTAAATACATCTGTGAATCACATCTATGAGACCAGATTTTTATTTTGCACGCGCAGGACAAAGTTTTTTGGGCGCCAAAGTCTCAGAAACACTGATCCATTTTGCACGTGCACAGCTTAGAGGGATCGCTGATTGTGATACAACAAAAAATACATCAATCTCTCTGTTATGTCAAAGAAAATGTACAGGAGATAAAAATCATAAACTGTATCATCCATCATTTACTCAGTTAGTTAATGTAAATGACAGGTGTGGACTGGACATAACTAAGAGCCTTCAGATTACGCTGAACTAAAAACCCTCATCCAGCTGTCGAGGCCCTTTCAGCCAGTATCAGCACTATACAGTATGTTGCATTTGGGGCCACTGGTAAATTAGACTGTTGGGTCATGGATGGTGCTGTAAAATGAAATGTTTGCATCATCTACTCAGAATTTTAGAAACCAATACTAGTAAAATGTAGCTTTCTGTTAAGAAATACCTCCAAATACAGGATAGACGCTGGTTCCTGCTGGTTTGACAATCTGTTATTCCAAAATACATCTGCTGCAACTTAAAAGCCTAAACTCCCAAACTCATATGAGATACTGAGCCCAACATATTCTATGGATGATCAGTATGTGTGTGTGTGTGTGTGTGTGTGTGTGTGTGTGTGGGGGTGTTTTTAACACATTATATTTAGTGAGTGTTTTGGGTCCTGTCTGTGTGAATAAGCGTTGGTGTGCCATTGGTTGTGTGTATGTGTGTGTGTGTCAATGGCTATTATGTGTTTTGTTGGGTACTGTAGGGTTTTGATAATTTTTCGTATTCTTCTTTTCTGTATTGTATGTAGTATGTGTCTGAATGAATGGTAGGGGATTAGATTAATATAAGCGTTTTGCTTCCACCAATCCCTTTTCAAACTATGCACCGGTTTTCATGTTTCTCTTATTTCTTTGAAAAAAATGTGTGTATCTCTTGCATGTTTGAAATTAATAAACAAATGAAGCACAAAAGCACATAATTACACAGTGAAACTTATTTGCATTCAGGGCAGCCCATGAGCATGAAGCTAATCCTGCTACAAGGTCAATGTACATCACTTTAAGAATACAGAGCTAAAGTTAGCTTTGACTGGATAAGATCTAGAGCCAACCAACCTTTTTCAATCATAGAGCTACTTTTATACAACAGAAGTGGCAGAGAGCTACTCCTTTTTGCAGTTATAATAACAATCAATGTAATTATTACGACAAAACATGGAGAATACATGTAAAATATGCTATATTTAACCCTATATTTATACTTACACATAATACTAAAGCATAATAAAACACAAGATATGTAACAACTCAAAATGTATTCATTCAAGATCATGTGTTAATCATGTCTAAATCATTTGGGGAGCTACCTGTAAGGGGTTGGTGAGCTACTGGTAGCTCCTGAGCCACAGGTTGGCAACCCCTGATCTAGAGACAGTGACAAAAGATGGTAACATTTGAAAGTGAAGTACTAGTAAACAGCAGCATACAAGCAGAAAACGGTCCACTTTCAACTTGCCACTTTCTCTGATGGCACCTCCACACTGGAGGAGCAAAAGTTCCATTGGATTTTTATGTGTTAAGATGAACTGTGACAATATTTGACACGCCTCAAAAGAAGCAAATTGTATTCAAAAGAAAATCAAAGACTGCACAGCTCTTGAGACGAGATCTGTGACAATCTATTATCGCTCAAGACATGGGCCCGAATGTGCCATGATGAGGATCTGCCCCAATCAGCCGCGAAGAGATGCAAATTTGATCCTGTTTGTGGTGGGAGGAACAGGCTGTGTGCTCCACTGGCTTTAAATGGAGTTGTTTGTCTTCGTAAATGAGCACTCCTCACACCTAATCACTCCATTCCTCTGCTTCTACAGCCCAGCCGCTCCTGCTTATCGCTGCTGCATCACACGCCTGTCTTGATCGGTCATAGCTTAGGTTCAATGAAGCTTGTCTGGTGGCCTCTAACTCACACCACTTTGTTCATGAGGAGTTGCAACGGTGGATGCGTACGCTCATTCGACATTTTCACTTTCCCTGAATTCGCAATTTTAAGACCTAAACTCCCTTGTCTTGTGCAGAGTGTATGTCTACGCCTTGGTGACTAAATGGCTGTAACCACGTCCAAGGTTAGGGATAAGGCACTCCGTATTGTTGATGCATTGGAAAATCCATCCATTTCTTCCGCTTCATCCCTTGCCGGCCATTGGACCATCCTTTATTATTATTATTGTTGTGGCAATGTGTCAGGAACTGTAAATATCCGCAGAGCAGCTTTTGACGAAACTAACTTGGAATGGCCAGTGTGCACAGCAATTGAGGTTTGATGCGTATAGTTTGCCTACATGCATTCATGGATAATGAATCTGTGTTTACTTGCATACTTGTGAAATTATAATGTGTAAAATTAGTGTGTATAATTCTATAAAATGTAATAATAATTGTATAAATGCGTAACAGTTTGATGCCTTGCCAATTTTTTCATGAATCTTGAATCGTCTTGTTTTTTGAAAGTGTCAAACATCAACCTATACCCTTTTAGTCAGTCAGTTCTGAGTTCTGAATGTGAAATAATGAATGTGAAACAGTTTCTTTATTGTTGTTATTGAGCGAAGAATAAATCCGGGTTTGTTCTTGTGGATCTGTAAACTCACAGATGAGGCCGAATACAAGCCTGATGCCTCGGGCAGTTTCAGTTCACTCCGTGGTCACCGACTGAAAGCCCAACATTATGATTCCTTCTCTACGCAGTGGGTGGAAACCTTTTTTGCTTTAACCAATCCCTGTTTGGTCGTGACGTAGGCAGGAAGCTGGGCAATAAAATAACGTCTTTCAAGCCCACCAAACTTTATCTTGGTCTTGCTTTTCAGTATCTGGGAGCTTTTCAAACACAAATGTTTGGCTTGGTCTACATCCATTTTGACCGCTTATTGAACTTTGGGTCTATTGTACTTCCTGGTTTTCGGAGCCGTCTGTGTTTGCACCAGCGTGGCTAACCAAATACAACTAACTACTAGAATGTTCACTCAGAGAACACGTACCCCGGCAACACCACGGATCATCTCTACATTTAAATGGGGTCTTACTATTGCATCCAATCTACACACCACATTTCAGCTCAATCTGTCCAGTAGATTTTGCAAAGTCTTCCCCATAGATAAACACACACACACACATTCTTTCCATGCCTTATGTGTGGATGAGGGTAAACAACATTACAAGTTATGTTCAAGACTGGGATCCGAAGGCTTTAGTAAAACCTAATCCCTGCAGAACCGCATATCAAATATTTGACATCCGCTGCTCTTGAGTTTTCAATTTCCTGTCCCGGCATGGCTTTAACTCTCACCTGTCATTATTGTCTTACGACTCCTGAACTATACCCTTTTCGGCATTTCTTCCTTTCATTTTCTCCATCCATACACTTAGCTCACCACAATGAATCAGCTCTTTCCATATTAATTAAACAAGAGGTGGTCCTGGATGGTGGCTTAATTGTGCAGCTTTTGATAGAGTTTTAATGAATGACTTTTGAAGTACATACAGTAATATAAAGGCCACACTCACCCTTACCATGTGCACTTTAGTCCTCTTGTGCTCTGCTGCTTGATTACAAAAGCTTCCTGTGAGTTAGCAATCAACTCAGATTTCAACGGGGAGATACTGTATTTCCTAATCTTTCACTTTCAAATCAAGTTTCGGCTCCATGCTTGCCTTTCGGGACACCAAACGAATATTCCAGAATATGGCAGTGAACGAAGAATGACAAGTCGCACCGTACACAGAGGGCAAAAAGCAACAAAATATTGAAGAATATTTCAGCATCACCACTTAGTAGTTGGAAATATATTTGCCAGATTGTAGCCTAAAAGCAACCATCACCTTTGACTTTGACAAGATAATAAGAGCTAAAACCAGAGGTGTTTTAGTGAAAAGTTGGACGAGCTTTGCTGAAGTCAGACCTTGACTTGCAATAGTGCCGCTGCTTTTTTTGCTGTTGCTGTCTGCTTTTCTATGAGAGAAGGGACCAGACTGATTCACTCCGGAGACCTCTAATGCACCAAGCCATCTCTCTATATATTTATTCTCCAAACTCCTCGCTTAGGGCTAAACTTCCTTGCCTTGTCCCTCTAAAGTTGTTGCTAAATTATACAGAAAAACTTTCCGACATACATTTGAATCAATCTTGTTCTGATGAGAAAATATGTTGCTGCTTTCATTAATGTAGCACAACAAATTGGAGCAGG